AAGTAGGTAGGTACTTCCTTATTAAAGAACAATTAAAATAGTGGCGATAAGAGAGGTACAATTTTCTGTATTAAAAAAAAATTAGTCAGAAAACATGTTTGCATGATTGTGACATCCGTTCCATGAGAACTCATTAAATTTTTGAAGTTTCTTAACGCAGGCTTCGGGTTGGGGAGTCAGCATAGAAAAAGCGACTGTCACATGATGAAGGATGTTATACCAGTTCAGGTGCATTGATGTGGCCATGTATACCTATACTCTCATAGGCTGTGGGTATAAACATGTTGATATAGAATGCATGCATGCACTTTGTCTTTGTAAATAAAAGGTGAGGGGAAAAAAATTTAGATCTGTGTCGGCCATGAGTCGAACCTGGATCAACTGCTTGGGAGGCAGCTTTGCTAACCATTATACCACCAACTCTTCACAATGATTACTGTTTCCTTTCTATAAACAGAAATAAAATGGGGAGGGAAGTGAAAGAAAGAGAGACAGAGTATGATTCTACCATTATTATACAGTTGTATAGAAAAGCGCAAGAAGCTTCGCTTCTGTTGTGTGTCCACTCATTGACACACCCGCTTTCTTTCTGTATTTGATTTGTCTTGCATAGTTTCTTTTAAATTGGTTTGTTTTAAATAAAAAGGGTTACTTGGCCTGCTTTTATCTTTTAACAATGAAGCAACTTTCCTCGCCATTAAATTATAAGTATCCGATCACCTGAACCTTCATTGTAGGATTTAATAGCACAAGAGTTAATTTTTAAATACTAAGGATAAATCGGAATAATGATTAATGAAAATACTAATGCTTTTCATGAGTTTCTGTTAGCATATAGGCATGCCTCTTGCATTTTATTGCATTTACTTTTAACATTGTGCCTATTCAGAGATTAATACTTTTCTGCCTTTTGAAGGAAATCCCTTTTTGATGATGTATCACATATCCTTTGCTTTTTTAAATTTTATTTTTTGTTTTAAAATTTTGAATGAACTGAACTGCAGTTTCTCTTTTCGTTTGATTAGACCCAATTTAACCCCTTTATCTTATCAGGGCTTCCTTATGACAAAAATCTTAACTTCACTTTGTATTTACTGATGCATATGGATGACTAAAAGAAGTTTCCCATTTGTTTCAAGAAAACTTAATTATTATTTCAAAATATTTACCTTTACTTCAATGATGTGATCCATTATTTAAAAATTAATATAAAATTTTATAAATTTTTCAGTTTGCTGGTCTAGACTTAAACTCCACCGGTAATTCAAGTGGAGCCAAGACTTCTGGTGAGTTAAATTACTTCTATAATAGTAATTTAATTAAAATTCTTATTGCTGAAAAGTTAAATAATGCATCCGTTTTATACACAATGTTTAAAAAATGCCTAGTATAACGATTATCTTCTTCTGAAGAAAAGTGTATGAATCGTGTTGATGTTAGGGATATATTTTTACTCAAGGAAATAAAGGCAAAAAATATAATTTATATTTGCTTTAAATAATAAATAAAGTACAGCCATAAAACAAATAATTTTATATTTATAGCAGTGTTTCCCATCTTTTTTTGCACCATGCCCTTTCAAAAATTCTTATGCCCCCTATGTAAACACATACATACACAATTTCTAGTATTCAAAAATTAAATTGTTCACATAAAAAACTTAAATGACAGGTTTTAAGAAGAAATCACTAGGAAATTTTCAGAACATATAATGGAGAACTGAAATTCAAGTACGAAATAATTTTAATGTTAATAAATTTTCTTAAGTTCACCACTTTTTTTTTTGAAAAGGTTGCAAGGATTAAGAGCTTTATATATATATTTGAAAAATATTCAGCAAGTAGATCCTGAGGGACAAATGTGTTCTTTCAATCTGACAATTTATATATTTTACTGTTAATGTGGGTAAGTGGTTATTATACATAATTACTGGATCTTTAGCCAGTTATTATATATAATCACTTTGGTATTTACGCATAATATTTTTTCCATCAACTCAACCATTTATAGTTTATTGGATTTACAAGTTGTAACTTAAAAAAAGATTTTAAATTTTAAAAAAAAGTAGAATTCGTGATTTCAACTTCTATCTTATTCACATTTTTCCTCGTTGAACTTATTATACAAGCAGTGAAAAAGCATTTTTTTTTGTATTAAAAATATTTTATTTCATAGATGTATATAGATTCCTTTTTTGTTGAGCATAACTTATAGAAAAAAAAAAAAAAAATATTTGCGTACCATGTTATTTTACCCACAGCATAAATGAACTGAAATTGAACTAAGAATGAAGAAGATAAACATATTTACAAAACAAATATATTTAAAATTTGACTTCATATTTACATTTAAAGTTAGGAGAACCTTAAAAAAATGGAGAATTGTAACATCAAATTTTTTTTGCACACTGGCAGTAAAAGGAAATATTTAACATTATCAAATATTGCTTGTATTTGATACACATATCTTTTGCTTCAATTATAGCTTATCATCTGGTAATGGATTCCACTAATTTATGATGTCTTTCTGTGTTGATTTATAGCTATTCCTCTCTGAGGTTGTTTCAGATCAGTTTTGTTTGAAATTTTTCTTTTCCTTACTTGCATATCCAAGGTATGTCATACATTTTCAACAGGATTGAGATCTAGAGATTGGGGGGTGGGGGAAAATTCGGCAGATTTTTAACATGATAAAGCAACTATGACCTTGTAATGCAGGTCAATGTATTTAGGGTATTTGTCTTGTTGAAAATAGTATGAGTCGAGTCGGCAATTTTCAAAGTGAATGCAATTTTAAATCTTGCAATATGTTAATATATTGTTTAGCATTCATATTACCATCAATAAAGGCCATTTGTCTAACTCCGTTCTAAGATATGCATCCATAAATCACACGACCACAGCCATTTTTGACGGGTGGTTTTAAATTTTTTACTTGAAGAGAAGTGCACATATTTTCCCATCTGAACCAAAAATATTAAACTTGCTTATAAAACATAAAATAACCATAACATAATTATAGTTATTTAGGCACATTTCTTTGTGGAACTCGACTGGTTTATTTTCATAAGCTTTGGCAAAAACATCTTTTCTGCCTGATAGTTTCACTAATAAATGTTTTTCCCAAGGGACTCTACCTTGAATCTTTGCACCATGAAGTATAATTTGAATGGTTTTCGATTCAACTAGTACCTGATGTTGAAGTAATATCAACTATCAATTCTCGAGTGCTTAATTATTATTTTTTTCATTTGTAGAATCTCTCCTTTGACTTGCTTTTAGTTTCCTTAGATGTCCAGTTTGAAATTTATTCACTATTGTGCCAAGTTTTTTTTCTTTTGTTACAAAACGAACACTAAAAAACTACTATTTTGTGACAGATCACAATCATGAATAGTTATCTTCTTGCAATAGTTGCGAGAGCTCTTTTGTATTTGGCATAATGCTAATTAAAACTGTCAGAATCTTCACTTTTTTATGCATTGAAGAATTATTTTTCACATTTGCTGAAATTTACATATATTTTATGTTTAGAGACTTATAAGAAAATAAATGTTTATGTATGCAGATTCTTTTTTTGGCATGAAAAAGTGACATCTTAAGTTTTAAATATGTATTATTACTTTTAAGAGGAAAAGGATGATTATTAGTAAAGTAAAATTTGAAACAATTTTGTCAAAAAATATTTTATAGTTATTTAGGCAAATCGATACATATGTGTAAACATTTTTTTCCCCTTGCTGCAGATGTTTAATTTTTACATACAGATTTTAATACAATTTTTTTTTTTAGTAATTCCACTTTTTAAGGTAGATTTCTCAATCTTCATGAATAATTAGGGAGTATGCATCTTGCACTTTATCAGTTAAATTAAATAGTAGATCATGCAGAAATGTAAAGGGGTGATTGTATTCCTAATTTATCTGGAATTCTTTTTTTTTTTTTTTTTTGCTTTCTCAAATCTGGAATTTCCAGTTTTTTCGCATGTACTGTCTATTTCAAATCTTGTTCTAGAACAAATATGTCATTAAGATACTGTAAAAATTTTTGACTACTCCACTGAACTTGATAAAATCTAACTTCTTGTCTGAGAAAATTAGTGAAAATCCAGTTATTTTGTTAAAATATGTTTGTGTATCACATTAATCTGATTATTCAGAATTTTGAGGGATTTTTACACTACAGTAGTTTTCAGGATGTTGGAAATGAAGTCACAAATCATGTCGGTGCTTTGATCCATTCTCCTCCTTACTTCCCCCCTTTTTGTTCTTGTACTTGGATATGTGGTTATGTAAAGCAGATGTAGAATTTCTAAAATGCAAGTAAATAAAAATGAATTATCTTGAAATAAAGAATCAGTTATAATACATGGATAAATAGGCTTCAGTATTGCTAACTTCATAAAAACTACCCTTTTATTAAAATTTTGTAGGGAAATAATTTTGGTTCTTCCTTTTTAAGGCAAAATATTTTGCACCAAATGGGAAGTGCTTGGACTATAATTCTTGCAATTATGAAGATAAATATCTCTTGCTGGTTCCAAAATAAAAATTTCATTCATTTTTGCAAAAGAACATGAATATATTTTCATAATGCTTCTTAGATCAGTATCTAAAAACAGATCTGTTTGTATCTGCTACAGAACTTAATTTATTTACAGCTTATAATAAACAAGTATGAAAACCTAATCTAGTTTGAAATACAAGTTCTTATATTCATCTTCTTTATTGTAATTTCAATTGTCATTCCACTGACAATTTTGTTACATTTTTAATTTGATGTTCCTATCATTTTATGTGGAATTTAATATTGCCTAGCCATTTATATAAATTTTTTCCCTTTAATTGTTTTCAAATGTAACATTTGTATTTCATAAATTTTTTATAGCACTTGTATTATACTTTTTTTTTAATTCTATCTTTTAAATGATAAAAATCTTTGATTTCATAAAATCCTATGCATTCCTCAAACATGAAATTTCATTAGATTTCTAATGGGTGTGTGTGGAGAAGACCTTCCTCTTATTGTCCATTTTAATCTGAAACAGAAGTATGTATATATTGGGTTTCTTCATTCAGATAAATAAGTGGTTGAATTGCAGGGGCTAAGTAATGATTTCTTATGCCTATTCATATTTGAGATTTTTGAATTAAAATAAAAGTTGCTTTGATTGAAATATTAAATTGAAAAATTTAAGTATTTTGAAAAATATTTTTCTCTTGTGGAAAGCACAATTTTTTTTTAAATTGAAAATATTTAAGTTTGGTTTTTTTTAAATGTCTTTATTCAAGTTTCATTTGTACTTTTGTAGTTATCAAAGAATAAAAAAAAAAAATGACATTTTTCATTAGATTGTTTATACCTTGAAAATTATGGCTGTATTAGTTTTTTAGTTAATTTTCTTCTCAATAACTAGAGCTCATA